TGAGGGTATTTATAGATAATTACCTTCGTCAGCTTCTCGTTCCCCTCCGGTATTTCCATAAGAATTCCATCGTATCCTTGCTGGGTAAGATACTCCACTGCCTCCATAGAACCTACCGTTAAGTAAGGTCTGTTTACACCTTCCTTCAGCAGGGGCTCGAACTTGCGGTGTTCTCTTCCGAGTTTGACGGTCCACAGCAGCTTCTGATGATAGGCCAGCGTGCATGAGGCAGGGAAGAGAAGCCTCCATCTCCGCTGATCCTCACCTTCCTGACATCGTTCCGTCCGTTTGTCTGCATCAGTCTCGGCGTCGTTCTTCATTCTTTTATCGTTTCCGTTAAGTGTATTACTGTCCACACTACGCCTTGCCTCCTGTCTTCTTCGTTTCTTCTTATTCCTTGTCAGAACTTCTAGATACTCGCCCTCCTCGTCTGACTGGCTGCTTTCAGGGTCCATGTTAATAACGCCGTGAGAAGTAGCCATGTCTTCTGGTGACTGAGTCTCCATCTCAGTACCCAGCATGGGGGGAGGGGGGGGGAAGGTGCGGAGCAGGTATCTTGACCCGACCGCGTCCCAGGTAAGACTGAGCGGATTGGAGATGAGGAAGCGATGTATTTATCATGTTTCCAACAACCTAACAAGTCCCACTTTTACGACTTGTTAGCTTGTTAGGCTGAATTCGATATTTTAACGAATTCAGCTTCGACGAAATCGTTAAAAAATGCCAAGTATGTTACAATTAACGCGCCGTAATATTAACACTTACTAGGCATGAGCTTCGATAGGCTCGGTACATGAGTCTGAACGTTTCTGGCTCAGGGGAAGACAGTTGCATTTGTTACGGAGTGTTCCAATCGGGAGGTCACGCTGCTGAGCCTCTCACGGATCAGTGTTGCCAACCAGCACTAATTGCCATGACTCCCCCCCCCCCTGGTGGCTCCAGTGACGTCATCTCCAGCATGGAAATTACCAATGTTTTGATGAAATTCTAGAGCGAGTCTCGCGTATACGTGTCCGCTCCCACTCGTGTGGGTCCCCAGAAAACTTGTAAGGTTCTACCAACAAGGTATTGAATGAAAGAAACATACTTGGCTATCAGAACTTGCATATCATTGTCTGAGAGGGAGTGAGGTTTAGCTCGTTATGTCCCGCCGACTATTCGACTATTCTTGTTGTATCTGTGGCGTTAATTGTAATTTAACCGTTCGAATTCTTTGGCTGCCGTTCGAATTCTTTGTCGAATCTGGCCTTCAAATTCCGGATGGAGATGGATGGCTTCCACAACTTCTTTCGGTTCATTCCACTTGTTAATCACCAGTACTGGGTACAAATACCTAGTGGTTCAAGTACCAAGTACTGGGTCAATTGCATTCAGTATCTTGTATGTTGTGATGATATCGCCTTTGTTTCTCCTATCGTCCAGGATGGTGAGATTTAGTTCCATTAGCCTATCCACATAACTTCCCTCTCTCCTCACCCAGGCACCAATATTAATCATTCTTGTAAATACTATATTTTTAAATATTGATATTTTATATATATATATATATATATATATATATATATATATATATATATATATATATATATATATATATATATATATATATATATATATATATATATATATATATATATATATATATATATATATATATATATATATATATATATATATATATATATATATATATATATATATATATATATATATATATATATTCAATCTCACCTTGAAAACGTGGGTGTTGAGATTAAATAAAAAAGAAAACCACTTGGTAATATATGGCGTCACGTAACTTGGCCGCCATACTGGTGGCCAAGATGGCGGTGGTTGTCAAGAGGGCAAGAGAGAATACAGGTCCGTCAACACAGCCTTTAAGGGAGTGTCTGAAGATGCCAGTCATCATGTGAAACCTCACCAGGAGAATACCGAGTGACTGCCGCAACGTGCTGGAATATTACCAATTATTAATATTAATTCTTCTCACACCGGCTATCCAGGATGAGGAAGAAGATGTGACAGAGGAGAACATATGAGAAAAAAAAGGAAAGGAGATAAAAGGAAGACATTAATACAACGGGACCATTTCGACAACAAGAAGGGAAAGTGTTCCCTTCTTGTTGGAGAAGCTAATTTCCAGGATAAAGTTACTGCGGAGTGCCTTATGCCAGGGAGGGTGGCCGGAGAGGCGTTACACACATACACACACACACACACACACACACACACACACACACACACACACACACACACACACACACACACACACACACACACACACGGAAGACGGGACACCACGAGCGTAGCTCTCATCCTGTAACTACACTTAGGTAATTACACACACACACCACAATAATTAACGGATATATTATAACCGTAATGGACATTTCAGTGGAGCATAATAAACAATGCAGAGAGTATTGTTGTCAACAGCACGTGGATCAGGTGATTATAATAACCCGGGTAGTTGACATGCCTGTTACGGGGGGGGGGGGGGGCCATCAGCATACAATAGGAAGTGTTTTTTAAGTGTTACTCAAGGTTGCCCCTCCCCCCCTCCCCCCCCCTCCGTCTCCCACCTTCCAGGGGTGCTCATTAGCATGTCCTGAGCTTGAGCAGAATGTGGTGTATCTGTTGTGATACAAGCCAAATACACGCAGACATGCACACTTTTACTAAGAGCCAGAGCTCAACCCCCGCAAACACAACTAGGCGAGTACAACTAGGTGAGTACTTAGCGAAGCTGGTTCCCTCATATACATTCTTGTAAAGACTGATGAAAGTAATCAGAATATAAGAGTGCAGAATGCCCCAGTAGAACCTGAAAAAAAATTAAGAGTTCTGATGCGAAAAAAGGGTTACTTGATTTAATTCAAGCACTCCAAGATTTAATCTTCGTGCATTTGACTACTGTTTATGAACTGAGCCGAGTGATTACAATGAGTGAACCTTTATCTTAAACACACAGTATTCTCATGTCATTCATGTATGTTATTTTACACCCAGACTTTAAAATAGAAGCCCGTCCTCAAGTTAGTTCGTAAATTAAAGAACCGAGTACACAGTACATTATGGAACTATTTATGTAACCTAACATGTATTATGTAACCTAACATGGTTAGGACATAACCTGACCTAACCAATCATAACCAAACAAAACCTAACCTAACTGCTTAGTTTGTTAACCAATATCTGGAAGTGCTCTGAAGCCCTAATTAAACATAATGCGTTTTGAAACTATCAAGACAATGAAAAACTAAACCTGAACTAAAACTAACAAACCTGAACTAACAAAAACTAAGTGATTACCCCACAGGCGCACACACCCCTTAAAAACGGATTGGATTTGTGAGTGCATGACGAGCGCCACAGGGTGATTGGGGTGGACTCAGTGCCCCTCTTTAAGACGCCCCGGCTCCTATTCCAATCCCAGACGCTCCTATTAAGTATGAAATGTAGGCTTAATTGTCCATTGAGTGGTCAAACTAATTGTATGGCTGTTATCGACGTTCATTCAATGTCGATAACGTTGGTGATGTTTCTTGATGCTTCAGCTTCATTCCGATAAGCTCAGAGACATTAGGGTCATGGGTTAAAAATCCACTCAAGTTCTAGAATGATCTGGGTCATAAACTTACTATGGAAACGAAGTACTCAAAAGCAAAAAGAAATTCGATTCCAGCTCCTCAGCATTACGATGCAGCGAAAAAATGATGGCTGCCTCCTAGTATATTATATTATATTATATATATATATATATATATATATATATATATATATATATATATATATATATATATATATATATATATACTATATATAAAATGATGTAATCCAACTCTTCACAATATTTCTTCGGATATCACGTAAAACGACACTTAAGTTTCCTTCTGTACGTTATCTTAGCTGCGAGAGCGTGTAGGCACGCTAAGTACCACCACACGGATGTATATATATATATTTTTCCATTTTAGTTTCTAAAAATAATAAAAATGTTATATTTTGAATAGCAGGTTTTCGTGAAAGTTTTACAATTCTGTGTTTGCAGCATAATTCTCACGTCTCCACATCCCCATTAACGAGGCGGAGTGGCTGAACCAATGGCCAACTTTCACATTCGGTAACATCAAAGAGCCTCCACAATAACAAACTGATGTTCAGCGACCAGTGTATGTCTAGCTTCAGATATGCGACACCACCACAATAGGTACTTGTGTAAAGGAGGAAATGTATATGTTTATCTCTCAGAATGTTTGGTAATATGTTTATAGTTTGTGATGTGTCTATGTATGTATTAACACGATGTACTGAACGGGGTGAGAATAGCTTGAGTTACCTCACCCCTTTGTGTGTATTTTATCTCAATAAACTTATTTCAATTTCAATTCAACCACAATAGTGAGCAGTGGTTTAGCAGTGTGACGTAACCACCTCACGCGCGTGTGAAAGAAGCCAATGTCACGCACACATACGGGCTTCTATGGTACGCAAGTCTATGGGCCAGAGGGTGGTTATCTTGAGGTTATCTTGAGATGATTTCGGGGCTTAACGTCCCTGCTTCCCGGTCTTCGACCCGGCCTCCTTTTTGTTACACACCCGCAGGAAGCAGCTCGTAGCAGCTGTCTAACTCCCAGGTACCTATTTACTGCTAGGTGAATCGGCGCACCAGGGTGAAAGAAGCCTTGTCCATTGTGTTTCCGCCTCCACCGGGGGGATCGAACCCAGAACCTCAGGACTACGAATTCGAAGCGCTGTCCACTCAGCTCTCAGGCCCAATGACGCCTCAGGTTGTCATTGAGTTTCGTAAAATATGACTGAGTGTGTGTGACGCCATATGAATATATGTTAAAGGTACTGGCGTAATGCCACGAAGCGACTAGAAGACGAAGAAGAGAATAAGATAAAGAATAATAATTAAATGGTAAAGAAAACGAAGAAAGTGCCGTCCTCGGATGTGACGGGGGAATGTTTGTGTATTGCGGGGTGATGGTGGGCACCTGTGTACCCTCCAGCGGGGTGATGGTGGGCACCTGTGTACCCTCCAGCGGGGTGATGGTGGGCACCAGTGTACCCTCCAGCGGGGTGATGGTGGGCACCAGTGTACCCTCCAGCGGGGTGATGGTGGGCACCTGTGTACCCTCCAGCGGGGTGATGGTGGGCACCTGTGTACCCTCCAGCGGGGTGATGGTGGGCACCTGTGTACCCTCCAGCGGGGTGATGGTGGGCACCAGTGTACCCTCCAGCGGGGTGATGGTGGGCACCAGTGTACCCTCCAGCGGGGTGATGGTGGGCACCAGTGTACCCTCCAGCGGGGTGATGGTGGGCACCAGTGTACCCTCCAGCGGGGTGATGGTGGGCACCAGTGTACCCTCCAGCGGGGTGATGGTGGGCACCAGTGTACCCTCCAGCGGGGTGATGGTGGGCACCAGTGTACCCTCCAGTGGGGTGATGGTGGGCACCTGTGTACCCTCCAGCGGGATGATGGTGGGCACCTGTGTACCCTCCAGCGGGGTGATGGTGGGCACCTGTGTACCCTCCAGCGGGGTGATGGTGGGCACCAGTGTACCCTCCAGGACTCGTCTGCTAGGATGGCCTTCCACAGGAGCCGCCTCCACGATACGGACACACTGCCTGCTGGCAGCTTCCCATCGCTTCCCCCTTTTCGTTTGCAACACAATAATAAGGTTGAAAAGGCAAGGGGGGAAATTACCAGGAATAAGCGCTAAATTCATATAACTATATAACATTTGGAAGGTCACTGATGGCGTAGTGGGGGTTCGAGTCCAACCCAGGGAGTGATCTAATCGGGCACCAATCAATACCCAACAGTAATTGGGTACCTGTGATTGGCGACCCGGGTCGTGTTTTAGGGATAACAGGTGAGTGAGGCGCACTATGGGACGGCGCAGCTCCATCACGAGTCAAACAGTCTGTTCGTATTAAATAAAAGGGATACGAGGGGAGAGAGAAGGGATACGAGGGGAGAGAGAAGGGATACGAGGGGAGAGAGAAGGGATACGAGGGGAGAGAGAAGGAAGGAAGTAAGGGAGGAAGTGCAATCGGCGGACTCAGTTTGGTTTCTACTGCCAACATTACAAGTAGCTGTTCTATCGACCAGTCCATTGCATGGCCAATAAGACTGGTCAATTACTGATCACAATTCCTGTTCAGAACTACGAATTATTATTATTATTAATTACTCTGCTGTATATATTTTCATTAAGTGATTCTTCCAACCCTACAGGAAGACCTGGGGGTTGAAGACTCCTCTTCCCCCCCCCTACACTTCCTTCTCTGGTTGACGTGTCCACTTTTACTGTCCTTGTCGATTTGTTTTGTCGCGTGTTGTTCTTCCTTGTCTTTGTTTTCTTCTTCTTACTCAAGAGAACAATTACCTTGGGAGGGTGGTGCTGTGGGAGGAGTCCTTCAGATGGGGGGTGTGGGGGGGGGTATGGTGGGGCGAAGGGGTAGTTTGTGAAGGGGGATTACCGCTGTGTGTGTGTGTGTGTGTGTGTGTGTGTGTGTGTGTGTGTGTGTGTGTGTGTGTGTGTGTGTGTGTGTGTGTGTTGTGGTAGGAGCGTGTTTGTGTAAGACTGGACATATTAAAAGACAATAATTCATGGAGAAACTTATTCAGGCACTACGGCATTGTAGTGAAGATGAAGAAAGATCCAATATATATGTACAAGTTTATTAAACCCCAAATTTTGAGATGACACCTACAACCTTTCCCACGGTGTTGTATATACAATGTTCTGACTGTATATATACACCATCTTGAGAAAAACTGAACTGAACATAAACTGGATCTTTCCTTCACCTTTACAATAATTCATGCTAATATTAGAGGAAACATCATTCCCATACACATGTAATAAGTTTGATTTTGAGCGACCAGACGCACACCCTTTAAGTGTCAGCATGATCCGTGGGAATGTTGTTTTAGATTTAGATACTCAGAACGAAGTGTCCGTGTAGCACGGGCTATGGTGAGCCCGTAAATGAGCCATGGGAATTAAGAATCTTTGGGGGCAGGTTTATAATGCTGGAACTGTGAGGACAGCCAGCGCAGGGTATCATTATACACTCAAAAGTGCCCGAAATGTTATGCGTACTAGTGGCTTTAGGTATTGTATGTACTATATCTTTAAATCCATCATTACGTAAGTAACTCAATGGATGTACCTTTACCTGAATAAAAAAAAATCTAAAATCTAAATAAGAAAACTAGCACTGTATATTTGTTATAAAACAAATCCACATCGATTAAGGCAGCGTCTGGGATGCTCTCGGACGCAGGTTCGAATCCTCGTCACGGCCCTTGTGGATTTGTTCATTTGATGCATCACGCTATTGTGATTTGTGTGTGTAACGTAGCCCACATCTTTGGACTCTCCAGACACGTTCTTATTTATTTATTTGTTTACATACAAGAAGATACATTGGGTTTATGAGAATACATAAAGCATAGCGTGTCTTGTCATGGCACTGTGCACAGCTGTTTTGTTAGCGCCCACATGAAAATGTTGACATTTTAGTAAATATCATTTTTATTTATATGAAATACACTAGCAACATGATACAGTGAAGTATCCATAGGTATTCGTCAGGCAATTTATATAAGGCCACTAATACGCAGAGAGCTTCGGGAATATATACTTTAAAAATAAGGTGTATTACACTCATTAACTGACGAGCCGTGAGCAGGAATATAAAGCGAGGTTCACAAGAGCTTGAAATTAACATTCGTCGCAGGTGACAAACTTCCAACCCTATTATAATAGTTTCCCACCCATATAAAATCATTTTCTTTGGTTTTTGCAGGTTTTCTTTTCTTTTGTTTATGGTTAACTTAAAAAAATATACTTCTATTATTTGTGAGTGCTTTAAGTCTAACACGTCACAATGTACCTTGAATCACACGTAAATGATAAAATACTACATTTGGGAATAAAATAAATTGTGTAAGTTCTGCACCCCAAAATTAAAACTAAATTAATTAGTGTTCTGCAAAGTGATCTATCATTTGTCAGTGTTGGGTGTTCGAGTACGGGAAAAGTGGAGCAGCGTGGGCGAGGCTGCGCTCATCTCTACTTTCTCCCGTTGATGATTTTCACCAACTTCTTTTAATAAATGTTGCTCTGTGTGTGTGTGTGTGTGTGTGTGTGTGTGTGTGTGTGTGTGTGTGTGTGTGTGTGTGTGTGTGTGTGTGTGTACTCACCTAATTGTGCTTGAGGGGGTTGAGCTCTGGCTCTTTGGTCCCGCCTCTCAACTGTCAATCAACTGATGTACAGATTCCTGAGTCTACTGGGCTCTATCATATCTACATTTGAAACTGTGTATGTATTGTGTGTGTGTGCGTGTGTGTGTATGCCTCCACCACATCACTAAAACTATTCCCATGCCGGGAATCGAACCCGGGCCTCCTGGGTGAAAGCCAGGTATCCTAGCCACTAGACCACATGGGACTACCTATATACAATTCACTATGCAAATACATAGAAATGTAAACACTAGCTGCTGAAATTTTAATATTCTTAAAAACTTAAGACAACCCAGAATCAAGAATCATCTTGCTGTGTAATTATAATGTAGAAAACCTTCACTGTACAACTGTGGATAACACACAGGTAACCAAGAGTCCGAGAAAGCACAACGAATGAACAAGTCACAGGAAGGAGAACAAATGAACAAAACTCAGGACGCAGAAAACATTAAATCCCAGAACGCACAAATGAACACATTCCAGAAAGCACAACAAATGAACGAGTCGCAGGAAGTAGAACAAACGAACAAGGTCACAGGAAGCAGAACAAATGAACACTCACATAATAACAATCCCTGAACAATCTGAAAATGTGCCATAAATCAAGTAGATCAACTAATCAGACGACAAACACACATGGGACATTATTTTCACATTGAGAGAAATATTTGGACAAATAAGTTTGAAATTAATTTTTCTCGTACCAAAACCTAATTATAATATTATATTATATTATATTATATATATATATATATATATATATATATATATATATATATATATATATATATATATATATATATATATATTTTATATATATATATATATATATATATAAAGTGAAAACTCACACACCAGAAGTGACTCGAACCCATACTGCCAGAAGCAATGCATCTGATGTACAGGAATGAGGTGATTTGATAAAATACCATGCCCAAGATTACCAACAGAGTGCCGGCGGGGGGATGGGGAATTAGCCTCGGCTACTATCCTCTTTTGTCCGGTCGTGTTGATCGAGTGGTTAAGGGATCCTGTACATCAGATGCATTGCTTCTGGCAGTATGTGTTCGAGTCACTTCTGGGGTGTGAGTTTTCAGTTGCATATATGCCTGGAGACCGTTCAGGCTTGTTCGCATTTGTGTTCCTCACGTGTGCCCCAAAGAATGAGGTGATTTGATAAAATACCATGCCCAAGATTACCACCAGAGAGCCATACCAACAGCAGTAAATAAGTACCCGGGAGTTAGGCGACTGTTGTGGGTTGCATCCTGGGGAAGGTCAGTAGTACGACCTGACCTCCATACAAGCAGGCTTTCTGTCCCCGAAAATAGGAACTATACAGCGTTATGTATATCTGCTTCTCTGTGTATAGATACTCGAGTTTACTTCAGTCCAGAGCAGTCCATAGTTGATGACTAAAGTAAACTAGCAGGTTGGTCAGTAGGGTAATGTAGTGGCCTTAATAACCCTCCAGAGGCTGATAGTCTTGGGAGACTTCTCATTCATAACGACTGAATTTTGTAACTAGCTCATCAAGATTGTAACTTGCTTAGCTTAATGAATTATAGGGTTCAGTCCCTGAGCCCATTATGTGCCTCTGTAACCCTTTCCACTACCGCCCACAAGATGGGTATGGGGTGCATAAGAAATGAACTAAACTAAAAAAAAATATAACGACTAGATTTGGAGGAGGATTGTTCACGCGTGTCGTGACCGCTGTAACGTGACTAGGGCGGCATATATACATAATGTATATATGCCGCTCAAGTCTCTTCATGTGTACCAAAATGAATGCATTAATTATGCCACCTATTATTCTTAAGCCCCTCCCCCCCTGTAAACAATCTCAAGGTTCCCATTTTCTCTCATCCTTCACGTTTTCTGTGAAACGCTTAAAAAACACTTTCAAAGAATTACAGAGGTCATTTAAGACGGAATACATCACTCGTTACATACAAACATTAATGACTGTTTTAAGATGTGGTGGCGCTGTGCTCTGCCCCGCACGTGTAGGATGTCGCAAGAGGATCATTGATAATTTGAGTCGTAATGGTGAGGAAGGTGAGTGTATGGGAATGGGGAAGGTGTTAGCCATTATAAATACCATTGGTCATAGTTCACACAACACCGGTGGCCTCACGCGCCACCACCTTCACCAACCCGTCACACAAAATCAGAGACGAGAGAATCCAATTTGGAGTTTTCATAAAATTCTGCATTTATATTAAGCCCTGGAAACAGGGTGGCAGACAAGTTGAATATATGAGAGAGAGAGAGAGAGAGAGAGAGAGAGAGAGAGAGAGAGAGAGAGAGAGAGAGAGAGAGAGAGAGAGAGAGAGAGAGAGAGAGAGAGAGAGAGAGAGAGAGAGAGAGAGGAGGGTAGGTAGGTATGACCTCTAGTATGAGTCAAGAGCCTCGCTGAAGCGACCCCGGCTTGTGTTTTTACCATCCCTGAGTGCTTATGGC